GGGGGGGGGGGGGGCAAAGGGACTTGCCCAAGGCGGCACAGAGGACCACTAGCAGAGCTGGGAATATTGATCCAGGTACCATCTCAGTGCCTCAACCATGAGGATGCCACATTCCCTGGAAACCCGAGAGCAGCCCTGCCCTGTGTGCCCTGGGCCCTGCAGAAAGCCAGATGGGGGAGCGCAGCCCAGGGTGCTCTGGCACAGACAGGGCCTGGCTGTGCCCAGCCTCCCAGCCAGCTGTCTCTCCCCGCTCCCCAGACCTGCAGGCAGAGGAGCCACGGGCCGGCCCGAGGGCGATCCCATGCTCAGCACGGGGCCGGATGCTGACGCGGGCCGTGCGCCTCAACAACAACACGCTCAACGAACTGACGGACCTGGGGCCGGCGCTGGAGCTGCTGCTGGAGAACCCCGAGGAGCTCTCCTGGCTTGACCTCTCCTTCAATGACCTGCCCACCATCGACCCAGTGAGTGCACGTGGGATGCAGGCCTTGGGCACAGGAGCTGCAGATTCTGCTGCTAACCCCAGTTTAGACTACCTACCCTCTGTGCCTCAGTTTCCCGACCTGTAAAATGGGTGTGGTGCACTGGAGGTCGCTGTGCCCCTGCTGCAGACTTACTCCTGGAGGGTCTGGGATGAGGCAGGGGGAACAGCAGCAGAGCCAGATACTGCAGAGCAACTGGGTGGGGGCGGGGATGTCAATGGGACAAAACCAGACCAGTACTGAGCACCACTGGCTGCATAACCCTTGCTTCACAATGGTCCCCAACGGAGAGGGGAGGAGGGGGTCCTTCCCCATCCCATGCCTCACTTTCCTGGCTGCTTGGGGGGTGGGGGGCACTTTGTCACAGGGCCTCCCCATGCCCCACCACTTAACCCCCAGGCTTTGGGCTCCACAGATCCTGACCACATATCGCAACCTGCACTGCCTCCAGCTGCACGGGAACAGCATCCAGGGCCTGGGCGAGGTGGACAAGCTGGCCGTCCTGCCCCACCTGCGCAGCCTCACACTGCACGGCAACCCCATTGAGGAGGAGAAGGGCTACAGGTACCCAGAAATGTGCCCGTCCCCAGGGATCGCTCTGCCTGCCCCAGCACAAGGCATGGGGGAGCAGGAGCCAGAGGATGGGGAGAGGTCAGGGGCCACCCCCTGCAGACTCCCCCTCCCACAGGGAGGGGGTGGGTGTCACAGCACTGCCCAGGTGCCCCTGCCAAGCTGGGGGTGGGCACAGGAGGTGCTTGTCCAGGCCTCTCTCTTGTGGCATCACAGGGCCTGGACTGGAGCTTGCTAAAAACTAGCTCTCGTTCCCCAGCAGGCTGCCCCATGGCTCCGTGTCTGTCCCTCCAAAGCAAAGGGCCAGGCTGCAGCAGGGCCACTGGCTTGCAAGCCACCTGCAATCACGGCTGGTGACCGCAGGTGCCAGCCCTGTCCCCATGCCCCCACAGGAGCTACGTGCTGTCCACACTGCCCCAGCTCAAGTCCTTTGACTTCAGCACCGTGACGAAGCAGGACCGCTCCACCGCCGCCATCTGGAAGCGCATGAATGCCCAGCCGAAGAAGGCCAAGAAGAAGAGAGAGCGCTTCTGAGGAGAGGCCGCAAGCTGGGCACCACAGCTGCAGATCCACAACTGGTCCATGGCCCCCTCCTCAGCCTGGAGAGCCTGAAAGCCCCATGGGACATAGGAATAAACCCTTCGCGCCATGCTGTGGAGCAGGGCGTGAGTAGGGGCTGGGCTGAGCCAGTGCCAGAGAGCTGGGGCTGTCCTGAGAACAGGGGGAACAGCAGCAAGTACCCAGGTGTCCCAGGCACCTGCTTTAGCCTGAGATGAGTCCTACTTGCACTGTGCCAACCCCTATCTCCAAGTCAGCTCGAATCCTGGAGGGCGACAACCCACCAGGACTGCACACCTCCAAGAAGGTCATGTGCCCTTTGCCATCTCAAGTGGTTTCCTGGCAACCATGGCCATAAGCCCATGACCAGAAGTCATGAGCCCCTTCCCAGCACAGCAGCCCCAGAGACCACCGGGCAGAGGCACGAAGTGGGATCCACAGCCCAAAACCCACCCGCGTGGCTTCGTGCTGAGTAGGGGAGGGCCAGTAGCCTGGAAGTACCTTGCCCCAGAATCCAGCCGCAGCAAGGAGGCTGGCCCCTTCCATCCATCCTGCCCTTAGGCAGCCTGTCCCAGGCTGGCAGGGGCAGGCGTCATTCCCTGGGGTGCAGGTAGCTGGCAGGAGCCTGTAAACCACAAGGCTCTTCCCTGCCATTACAGCCCCTTTCTGGCCAAAGCCACCCCCAGCTCCCTGCTCACAGCAAGGGGAAGGAGCTGCCCCTGCCAGCCTTGCAGCTGCCCAAGTACTAGGGATGCAGATTGCTCCAGGCAACAACTGCAGGGAGCAGAGCAAGCTAGCTACCAAAGCAAGCTACCAGGCTAGGGATCTGCTTGTCCCCTCTCCCCTGTTCAGCCCCAGAAACAAAGGACTTAGTGCTACAGCGAAGGACATGGGACCCCCTAGGCAGCAAGGGGACAGAGTGATGGGCTAGAGCTAGTTTAACCCTTCCCTGGCACAACAGAGCAGCCCTCCTGCTGCTCTGAGTCCCAGCAGCTGGCCCAGAGCCACAGGAGCCAGCAGCATAGCTGAGAGGGGTAGAGGGGTGTAGGACTCATTTCTGCACCTGGCTGAAACCAGCCCAACCAGAGGGAAGGTGCCTTCCTGCAGAGGCTCCTTGGGGCATCAGGTCAAGGAAGAGCTCCAGATAGGGCCCCACACCCACATCAAGGCACCTGCCCCCCACAAGGGACTTCTGCCACCAGAGCCTAAAGGTCACCAGCTGGGACGAGAACACAGGACCCAGAGCGGTGGGGGACATGAGGGTCCCAGCTCAGCCCCTTGGGTTCGTGTTCCTGCCTGTTCTGTTGTGAGGAGCTGCCCTGAGAACTGGGCTGGAAGGGCATCGTGCTTGGTGCCCATGTACTCTGCTCCTGCCACCCTGTGGCAGCGTCCTATTAAACACTCAGCAATGCACATGCATCCGGCTCAGACTTAGCCCCCAGTGACAATGACCCCCAAGGCACAAACACCAGCCTGCCCTGCCTGAGTAGCCCAGGGGCTGCCCCAGCACCCTTGCTCCTGGTTGAATCTGAGTTAATTTCACAAGGACAGCTGCTGCTAGAGATTCTCCCTCTCCCCAAAAGCTGCTCCTAAGGTTCATTACCTTCCCCGCTAAAACCTGCCCCTAGCTGGTGTGTTTTGCTCAGTGAAGAACCTGGGGGCTTTCCCCCTTCCCTTCCAGAAGCTCTCAGGGCTGGAGACATTTCAGAGCATGAGGCTCTGCCAGTGCTGGGGAAGACGCAGGCTGCTCTGCTCCAATGCAGGAAGCTGCAGCAGTGCTGCCATTTCCACCTATGGCTGGGTCTGGATGTCCAGCTGAGATCGGCTACCTTAGTGCACCGGGGTCAGGAGGGCACAGACCTCAGGCCTAGGGTCAGAACCCAGCACCTGCAGCCATAGCCCAGGCTTCTCCACTGCAGAGTGTAAGGACTGCTCTAGAAACAGAGCTGGGGGACAATTTCAGCAAAGCAGAAGGTGGCACAGATAGGGATCAGGCAGCCAGGAAAGCAGAGCCTGGGAATTGGGTTTCTGCCCATGGAAACAGTCGGGCAAGGACCCCTTGCTTTCATGATACGGCTTGATCGTTACACTCACACCAACGCAGTTGCCCACGGTAGCCAGGGACTGGGGCAAACCCCTATGTTTGCCTTGCTGCCTTGGGGGACCAGTTCCCCCAGCTCTGAGCTGCAATGTTGGCCTGGGGAAGGGGCAGGGGGCACTGAAAAAGGCTGGGCACTCCTCCCAGTGGGCAAAACAAGCACAGAGACGTTCACTGACTGCCACAGGCCCAGACTCTGCTCAGGCAGCAGGCCAGAAGCAGCACAGGGACAAGCAACTATTTGGGGGGGAAGAGGTATGAAATGCTGCTGACGCAGAGCAGGGACTCACACTCTCCTGCCTGCCTCATGCCCAGGCCTGAGGGTGCCACTGCCCAATGGCAACAACAGAGGCTCAGGGGATGAAAAAGAGAACCCAGCACTCCAGGCCAGAAGCACAGTGAGACCCAGCATGCTGAGATGATCCATACCTGGTCCAGTGCCACAGATCTAGCCTTTCCCAGGTATCCTGCTCTGGAAACCAGCACAGGCCTCCTGTCAACAGCACCTGGGTATCGATGATTGCAACCCCCTGGCAGCTGCAGCATTGGCACCAAGCTTATCCAGGGACCACGAAATGAGTCGGCACAGAAAAGAGCCAGCCAGCTAACACGGGCTGCAGAAGCCCAAGGAGATCAGACAAAGTGACCACCTCCAATAGCAGCCAAAGGAGGGGAACCACGTTCCCAAGTCCTCACTGCACCCCTCCATCCCTCAAGTGCTGAGGGAGCTCCTGCCTCACAGCGGGGAAAGAACACAACAGGGACCTGGGGCTGAATGAAAGGGCTTTATCTACGGTGCCAAAAAAAAAAAATTAAAAAACAAAAACAACCAAAAAAAAATCCAACTGAAAGGCCTGGGCGCGTGGAGCCACAGGCATCAGGCAGACAGAGCTCTGCGCGGAGCACCACAAGTGGGGCCCACTCCATGCCTTTGTCACACACACACACACACGCACACACACCCACACACACACCCACCCACCAACCAGCCCAGCCCTCCAGGAACATATGAGGGCCTGGGGGGCATTGCCTCAAGTGCAGCACCCCGTGAACCAGCAGTTGGTAGACTGGGAGGGATACTGAAGCCCACCCCACCTGCCAAGAGCCAGGAGTCCAACTTGTCCCCAATCTTTGAAACAAAGGCACCCGGGAGCTGGAGAAATGCCTCCCGTTGTGCTCAACAATACAGGCTTCCTATGAAATACAACATCTCCCCTCCCCACCTCCCCACAGCTATGCTAGCCTGCCCCCCGCACACACGCACATGAAAGAAAAGGAAAGCCTGGGACCAGGTATGGCCTCCTACAGCAGCGGGGCCTGGGCGATGGTGCCGGTCTCCTGGGCAATTAGTAGGAAATGGGGGGATCTGTACAAGTTCTGTGGCAGCAAGGCGCCGGTGGGAGAGAGGAAGAGGGCAACAGAAAGAGCGAGGGGGTGCAGGCGAACACGGGCGCCAGCTCAGGGGATCCCAAACTGCACCACGAGCTCCTCTTTTGCATCCACATGGATCTGTGAGAGCGCGCTGAAAGCGTAGGCGGCTATCCGGGACACCTGGGGACAAGCAGAAATGCACATGAAGGACTGTGACGGGAAAGCGAAAGAGGACCATACCCCAGAGACCCAGTGTTTGGCTGCAATGCCAATGACCGAGGGGCCTTGGCCTAAGAGGGCTGGTCACTGCAGCAGGGGCAGGGAGGGGAAGAGGCAGGTGCATTGCCAGGCTGTACCCACCAAGAAGCAGCTTGAATAGCTTGCTGGTCAGCCTCTTCACAGTCAGTGACTCCGGGTAGTCAAGGCCCCAGCCAAACATCTCCCCTCCACGGCTGCAGTTACAACCCATGTAGGGCTCTCCACATCACCGCCCACCGCCCCCCAGCCTCCAGCCCCTGGGAGAATGAGACCCTGAGCTGAAGTTGCCAGGTGCATCCCTTGACCCCTGTAATGTATAGAAGGCTCAGAGCCCTCGTGGCTGAGCTGGCTGGAAAGCAGGCTCGCCTCCACCCCCAGGGGAAATGCTGCCTGTTGATAATCCAAGCACATGGAGGGTTGGGGTCAGCTGCAGTTACAGATAGCTGCCCAAGCGCTGCCTCAAGGGAGGGAGAATCCAGCCTGGGAGCTCTTGCCCTGTAAAGAAGCAGGGGCACGAGGCCCAGCAGAAAGCCCAGGAGCTGGTGTTCTCCACAGAGGTGCCAAGGAAGAGGTGGTCAGGTATCCAAATATCTAAGATAAGGAAAAGGTGGGTCATTTATGACAGCCCCACAAGGCTCATGGCTCTGGGGCAGTGCATTTCTGGTAGGTGGCAGCAGCTGAGGACAGGAACTTTAAGCCTTCACCCCAAGGCATTTTACAAATGCACACAGGCTTTCTACAGGAAGGGTGCTCAGCTCCTGTCTCAGCCACATCCGAGGGGATGGGGGAGCTGTTTAGTGCCACAGGGAAGGCTGGATTCGGCTGGAAATGCACAGCGGAGTACAAAGCAGATGACAGCAAGAGTCAGACTCAAGCTCCTCTGACACAAGAACTGCTCCAAACACTGCTCTGCAGTCAAGCATCATGACCTCTATCTCTATCTGAACGATGCGTTTCTCCCAGCACAGCTCCCACAAACACTGTGCTGGGCTCAGAACTCCTCAGCAACAAGTGCCACCAGACTACCATTATTTCTGGTTTCTCATACAGGTACGGGCCCAGCCAAAGCCCATGGGGTTAAAAATCCCATAGAAGCCCAGCCCAAGCAGGTCCGCACAAGCCTTCCTGTTAACCTGCAGTGAGGGATACAAGCATTCACCTTGCCTCCCTGGTTTGATCATGAATGAGCTTGGCCCTCTAATGAGACAGCCGTTTACAGCTGCTAAGCAGTCTCACATGGGTACAGTGGATGAGGGACAGCTGTCTCCCTAGATTGCTTCCTCCTAAATCAAGGCCAGCAGGACTTCGTAGGAGCCAAGCCGTCTGCAGCCACATACTGTGGCAACTAGGAAAGGTAAAGAAAAGCAGGACTGCAGGCAGCCAGCACAGTCACTGAGACAGGAGCATCCACAGGGTTGGTTTTAAAGTGCTGAAGGAGCCTGCAGAGCCCAGGATGTTTCTTCAGGATCAGCCACACACAGCAGGCCTTGTTCTGCCCCAGTGGTGTGCGCTATGAGGCTTCTGCTGAGTGATGCTGGGCCTCTGCTCCTGGGGCAGGATAACAAGGGAAGGTTTCCAGATCACCCCGGCATAAGCAGGAACAGGACCTCAGTGCTTCCAAATAGGGCAGAGCTGAGCCACTGGCTTTAAATCACTGGTGTCTTCACCCCTCTTGGGTTGTGGCCATGACACACTTACTTCAGAGCAAAAGTGGAGCAGATGCATGGTGCACAGCCCTGCCACACTGGCTTAAGTCACAGGATTATAAGAAAGTCTGGCTGGAAGGGATCTCACAAGGTCATCTAGTCCAGCCCTCTGCTCAAGTCAGGATTGTCCCTGACTAAACCATCCTAGACACATGTCTGTCTATAAGATTGTAGGGAAGTAGGGCCAGAAGGGACCTCACAAAGTCATCTAGACTAGCCCCAGGGCCAAACTCTCCCAGGAAGTGAGGGGTAACTACACCCATGTAACCAGTCATCTTCACCCCAAGGGGGCATTTCCTCCATGCCAACAGGCTATGGTCCTCCACCTGCTAGAGGTGAAGCTCTGCAACTGCCCCTACTGCACATCTCTCTAGAGGGTCAGCTGTGCGTCCACTTCAGACACTACCACTGTCTTGCTCTGGAGGAAAACCCTAGCTAAATGACCCAGAGGTAAATGCGACTGCACTCTTAGAGCGTGGACACACAGCACGCTTTCAGAAAGAGAACAGAGGGTGGCATTTCAAAAAGGGCAGCAGCTGGTACATTCTGTTACCTCTTCAACTAACTGCCCTTCAGAAACAGTTCCTCCTCTGAAATGAGATCCATGCACCTGTGTCCCCACACTTCCCTCTGATGAGCTAAGATGATGGTAAGGGATGAGCCTGCCCCTTCTTGGGCAACCCAGTTGCTCAACAGGTAGTGCTACAGAACCTCTTCCGCCTGGCCAGGCCTCTGGAGACAGTGGGGCATTGCCCAGCTCTGCAGACCTTGCTGTAGGGTGTTGAGGCCCAAAGAAGAATAAATTCTGGCTCTCAAGTGTTAGGGGAATTTGAGGCAGTGAAACCAACTGAATAAGAGCCCACAGTGTGCAAAACAGGCCAACAGCATCCTGGGCTGTATTAACAGGAGTGTTACATGCAAGTTGAGGGCAGTGATTCTTCTGCTCCATTCAGCACTGGGGTAGCCTTTCATGGAGCACTGTGTCCAGTTTTGGGCCCCGCACTTCAGAAGGATGTGGACAGATTGGAAACAGTCCCGCAAAGAGCAACAAAAATGGTCAGAGGCCTGGGAAGCAAGTTTAACGAGGAAGGGCTGAAAGAGTTAGGGTTACCGAGTCTAGAGAAAAGAAGACTGAAGGGGGATTTGATCATGGTCTTTAAATACCTGGAGGGTGATTATAAAGAGGATAAGAGAGACCTGTGTGTGGCTGTAGGAGGCAGAACCAGGAGCAATGGTCTCAAATTGCAACAAGGTAAATTTAGAGTGGAGATGAAAAGGAACTTTCCGACTCCAAGAGTGGTCCAACATTGGAATAGGCTGCCTAGAGAAGCTGTGGAGTCTACATCCTTGAAGCTTTCAAAAACAGGTTGGAAAGACACATGGCTGGGATGGTTTAGTTACGGACAATCCTGTACTAACCAGGGCGTTGGACTAGATGACCTCACAAGGTCCCTTCCAGCCTGAGTTTCCTACAAGCCTATGAAGAAACAATCTAGATCTGTGGTTATTAAAATGAAGGCCACCGAGGTATTTTTAGCCTGGTCAGACTTGATCCAGGCTTTGGGAAGCTAGGAAAAATGGCTAAAGCAGGATCTTTATAAGATATACCATGTTCCAGTGCTTGTAAGTTTGGAGGGAAGGGAACCACTGGGTTACACTCAGAAAGGCTAGAAACAGGAAGAGACTGATCAAGAAGACATGGAGGCAGAGTCTTGGGAAGCTCCTCAATGACTGGAGAGCAATGAGTGCCTTCAACCAGAAGACATGAGTTGCTGGATCACTAAGCACTGCCTGGGGGGGGGATAAGTCTAGCCTGGGAGGGACTCCATGGGTCAGCTCACAGAACACCTGCTCTCTGGTCTAGGGAGCTCCTCACCTGCTGCAAGTCTGCGAAGGGGACGGGTTCACTCGCTAGCACTTGATGTGGTTGGCTGGTCAAAGACGGCAGAGGCGGGAGCTTCTTCCAGTGCGTCAGGTTGTTGCTCAGCATCGCCAGCCGCGTGCTAGGTGTGGGAAGAGTAGAGCACGGGGTTAAGAATCAGATGGCAGCTCCTAGCATGCGATGTGGAGCGGGCGATGCACCGGGCAGCGAGGCAGGTCTGTGTTGAGGCCTCAGATACCTGAAGAAAGCTCCAGCTCTGGATGAGACGTCCCCTCCCCACATCTTGCACTTACAGATACTGCAGCTGCTAAACAGCCAGACTCCTGGTGAGGGGCACATCCCCAAGCAAGTCCCCCATGGAGGATCCAGGTGGCACAGGGAACCCTGAGAGGTATCTGTCCAGTCCAGCAAGCTTGTCCTGAAGCCAGCATGCCCCACGCCCCCCTCCAGCCCCAGCCTGAGGGAAGGCAGCAGGGTGTCAACACCTCAGTAGGGCTGAGCCAAGGCAGGCCAGTGCTGCCTCCCCACTGACAGCAGGCTTCATGTACGGCGCCGGGGTCATATGCAGCCCCAAGAGCTCCCAGCCTTTCTGCTGCCCAGGGCACCTATACCGGGGTCCTGCCACACGTCTTGTGACCGGAGACCTCTGCTCACCCCACACCACCAACTGCCCAAGCTGGGGCTTCCCCTACCTGTACTGTCTGGCTCTGTCCATGTACTCATGCTGCTCCATCCCCTGGGAGTCGGCAGCCGACACGTCAATGATGTTACTGCAGAAGGAGGCAAGGCGGTCAGTCCTGCAGCCCACACAGCTCAGTTTAACTCCCAGCCCTGAGTCTCTTGGGTGCTGAAGCTGCACCCTGCACCCTCGGCTCCAGGGCAGGGAGCAGTAATACTCCCCCATCTGATCATGGGCTTCTGCCTGCACAGCAGCCTGGGTCTAGCACAAAGCTAGAAGTCAGGTGGTTGGAACAGAGACTGTCCTCTCAGGCAGGGGTTCCCCCCACATGGAAACATGGCTGTGCCAGTGCCAGCCTGTGCGCTTAGGACAGCTGCAGGAGCCAGACAAGCAGGGACTCCCTGTGGCCTGAAGATGCCTCTCACTTGTCCAAATCAGTTCCTCCCGCCATGCCCAACATACCTGTGCCCTTCAAGGGCTGGGAGGAGACCCACATGTGGAAGCTGCTGTGCCACAGAAGGGAAGTACTGGATTCAGCCATTTCAGACTGAGGCAGAGGTACTGCTCCAGCTTTCCCAGCACCTCTGGGCTGTAGATGGGTCACAGGGCCCCCTGGGCTACTCCCACGATCACCATGTTAACTCCCCAAGCAATGCCAGGCTAAGGCTGTGTTCTCTTTCCCTTACTAAGAGAGAGTCCAGCCTTGTGGCCCAGCTTCACACCCTCTCACCCAGCAGCCCACAGTATGCTGAGCACATGCAATCAAGTTACACACACCCAGGGTGGGGGAGAAGGGTGAGGAGGGGGTGCTGCCTTTGTGTACACACACCCAGGACGGATTTCTGCTCAGCCACATCCAAGCAGGGGAATCAAGGCCCTGAGGCCGTGCTGAATGAAGAGCTGCCTCTCCCAGCCCTGTAAGGGAGACAGCCTGGGCCAGTGAGCAGGGCATTACACTGGGAGGTGAGAGACCAGGGTTCTGGTCCCAGCTCCGCCACTGACTCACTGCATGCTCTGCCCCTGCACTTCAGTCTCCTCAGTGGTGAAGGGGTCAAGGGGTCAGCAGTGCTTGCCATTTTAGGGACGGCACAGATCAATGCCAGATGCACCCAACAGGCCTAGTGCATTTCCACCATGGCCTTCAAAGCTCTTTGCTTCGGGGCTGGCTCCTACTTTGAGTTTTCTCCTCCCAGCTTGTTGACAGAGGAGCAGGCGGCAAGAGCAAGTTGCACCGAGTTTCCAAGCTTAAGCAATGTCAACGAGGGCTCCAAGGACTGAACAAACGCAAGTCACCACCCCCTCGACTTGCAGATGGAGCAGGGAGAATTAAGTGACTTCTCCCAAGCCAGAGGTTCAGGGGATCCTGCACTGCTGGGCCCATGACTGGAGCAGAGAAGACTCCAGTCTGACCTCACTGGTGGCTCCTGTGCCAGGCCCCATCTTATGGGTCTGAGCGCATGGAACACCTGAAGAAGAACCTCTCTCCCCTGGCCTGAGGCCTCGTTGCCCCAAGCTCATCTGCCTGACAGACCAAGCAGGAATTATCCAGACTGCCTGTGACAGCCATGCTCCAGAGCTGGAAGATCCCTCCCAACCTAGGTGCTAAAAGCCAGCTCAGTCCAAATTTTGCAGCACAGATGGAATGTGATACATGACATAATGAGAAGAGAAGACCGGGGGGGAGCAGGGGGGATGTGTTAGCAGCCTTCATCTAGCTGAAGAGGGATCCCAAAGAGGATGGAGCTGAACTATTCTCAGTGGTGGCAGATGACACAACAAGAAGCAATGGGTTCAATTCACAGCAAGGGAAGTTTACACTAGATTTCAGGAAAAATCCTCTCAAGAGGAGGGTTGTAAAGCACTGGAACAGGCTCCCCAGAGAGGTGGTGGAGTCTCCATCCTTGGAGGTATTTAAGCCCTGGGTAGACAAAGCCCTGGCTGGGATGATGTAGTCGAGGCTGGTCCTGATTGGACCAACGGGTTGGACTAAATGTGCCCTCCTGAGGTCCCTTCCAACCCTCCTTCTCTATGGTTCTGATGATTTATGTGGCACTCCAAGCCACAGAAAACAGTGCTATACCGTGGCACCGTGACAAAACCCTGTGGAGATGATCTATCTCACCTTTCAGTGCCCTCAGGGAGCCTGTCAGTATAAGCCAAGGGCCAGCAATGGCTACTTGGCACTGAAAGGACCAGACCGCTAGACACTAATGCTTTGGTGCAAGGGAGCATGGACGCCATACACAATTCAGCCTCAGAAGCAGATGGGAACACACTCAGGGATGCTTTCAGCCCTCATGGCAAAGACGTTCTGCACCAGATTACCCATTAGAGGAAGGGAGCCAAAGCACTACTAGCTTTGACATGGAGTTTGGTGTGCTGCAGGGTGCAGTTATATGGTGTGGCTGCCTGCAAGGGGACGCAACTGGACTTCAGGCCCCCAGCCCCCCATCCTGCCCTCTGGGAGCTCCGTTGTTCAAGCTCACACTGGCTGGAGCACATTGAGACTGGATGGCTTGGCTGTGGATGCTCACCATTTCCTCCTCACTCCCAAACTGAAATCTCGTTTGGTTTGGATGGTTTAGACAGGGATGGTTCTGCCTGAAGCAAGGCACCAGCCTACAAAGTTTCTGTGGGCCCTACCCACATTGGACTGCACTAGCTGGCCCCCTGGGATCCCTTCCAGCCCTGTTTTCTACCTGCCTTCAGAAGAGACAAATTCCTCTGCTGAAGTCTAAGCAATCCTTTACCGTGCAGACCCCATTGCCACCTCCCCTCCCCGACCCAGCTCTGT